ATATATGAAGAAGAGTTGGAATTTTTCCCCAATATCCAAAAGCTGATGGTCTAGACAGAGAACAATTAATCTATTCTCTCCTACCACAAAATCAAGAGAATTTCCAGGGCAGTGTTTCTCAAATTTTAGCTATACCAGAGTCTTAACAGAGGACTTGTTAAAAACAGATTGCTGGGCCCCACCTCCAGCATTTCTGATTAAATAGGTTTTAAGATATAAATAGGCCTGAGAATTTGCATTTATAACAAGATTCTGGAAAACAAATAATGCTAAAAGGGGAATTATATTTTGCTCTAGGAAACTTGACTCATTCCTTCTATAAAATAGCAAAAAAAAAAAAAATAGAGTTATATAATCTATGATAACAGATTAATAAATCATGTGAGGCTGCTTAGAGATTCTAATCAAATACCCTCATGTTACAAGTGAGGAAGGTGAGACCAAAAGTGATAAACTTAATTGGCTAATGATTGTTATCCTTTAGAACAAATGCTTCAAATTATTAAGTACAAATAGAAACTGTGGACTTAAAATCAAACGTGGGAAACTTGATTCAGCAATACTGACTTCTTGGGAAAGAAAGGAAAAAAAAAATAGAGAATTCAGCATTAGCTGAAAGGAAGACTACTTCAAGGCATCACTCTATAATATTTATTCAACAGATACTTTTTGAGTACCAAAATTCAACCAAGTTGGAATCTTCTAGAAACTGATGAAACATCAGGGAATAAAACAGAACATTTAAATCCTCAAACTGGAGGGTGATGTCAGTACAAACGTAGCGTAAGGAGCTTTGATGATCTGCCCTTCCATAAAACTGGAAAAAAATTATCACAATCAACTTTTTCAGAAACCTGAAAATTAACCAAAGACTTGCAACAATACAGGAAGGGCTTATTCAAGAAAAGTTGCTGAATTGCATTGAGAACAGTGAGCTTTGCGGTGTTAATTTACCCCAGTCCCATCCCCTGGTCTTCAGCTCAGCAGAAGCCTTGAAAAATAAAAGCCTATATTCCTAGTACTAGAGTGAGCAGGCAGGGCTTGAGGTCTTTCAAAGCCTCCTCCCCAAAGGACAATCATTATTTAACCTATCTTGAAGTTTCCTGGAGGACCCACTAGAAAACTTTGTTTTAGTTTCACCAAACTTGGAGCTTTCCAGGGGCTAAAGATGTTCTCCAGTGGACTTTCGTTCCAAACATTTACACACAAATGCTTTAGCCATTTGCCTATGGCATGGATAACAACTGGAGCAAATAATAAACTAACCAACCAAAAAGCTTGGACAGAAAGGTTGGGGAAAAACACTTACAAGTTCCTAGAAGGTCACATGCATGCTCAGGTATAGAGCTCTGTGCTTGCCCAGGGATGTTCATATGCACAGGAAGATCCAGAAGGACTTAAGCACTAACTTCGGGCTGACCTTGAGGATCTGCACAAGCTGGAAGTGAAGATAAAGGCAGAATTGTAACATTTAACAATAATAGTTGGAGATGTCAATA